ATTTTTGGAGTTGCTGAGAAAACTCTCTTGTGAACACCTAGGAGAGTTGTCGTCATGGACAATGACTTCGACTAAATGCTTTTCAACAGATCTTCGCATCCGCTCCACGTACTCCGTGCTAAGATGATCATCATCTGGGTAGCCATCGAATACCATTACGGCATTAGACTTGTACTTGCACTCAAAGTAATGAATGTAGCTGCGACTGATATCACAGAAGAAACTTGATTTTGATGACCATACAACCCGATGTAACAGGAATCCACCATCTATTACATTCATTGTTTCATTCATGCTCCAAGGTAGAGATGTTCGCCATGGTTCTCTTTATCATGCCCATATCATCAAATAGAGCCAAAGGGTATGAACAGAGTTCATATCTTAAGAACTTTTGCAACTCGTCCTCAGACTGCTTGGCAACGCTTATTTTTTGGAAGAGAGTCAAAGATTTTATGGGAACAGGCAGGTCATCAAGTGTAGTGCTGACAACTGCTAGAGGTAACACTCGATCACTCTCTTGTACTTGACAGTCCCAATTTTTTTGTCCTGTCCATCCTTTGTCTTAACGTTCTCCATTCTTTCGACGCCATATGTTATTTAGTCATAGCAAGTAATTTTTTTGGGATCTCTGATGACCCCTGTACCGATGGATATAATGTCTTTAGAGTGCAAGAAAGGTGGATGTTGTGAAATCATTCTAACATCTTCTTCATGTCCTTATCGTTTCGTCTGAATCTGCTGTCCCTGCTGTCAACATGTTGCTCCGTCGTACCAAAGTTTATGCGGCAGAAAGTTTCGATCACATCGCACACTTCTTGGCAAGCAGCCATTCCTTGTGTCCACCTGGATAATATGGCATCGCTGACTCCTCTGCCTCGTATCAGTCCTCAATCTGCTTCATCAGAAACTGTTGGATTGTCATATCACTCCACGTGCCGCACAACAAATGGTCTCCTCGTCTGACGGTGAAGCCATCTTTCGACGTGAAAGATGCAAATACATCTGGTGGCATCATTTTCTGCATCCCTTGCATGTCTTGCAGATATAAGTGTGCACATTTGGCATACAAGAAATGGCCACTCGCGTTTTTAGATGTAAATGCCAGTCTCCCAATCTTTCCAAGTGTCACCATTTCCAGGTACTGAGTCCACAATTTGGCCGTTAGCCCAATACTACCCAAACGATTTATCTCATCCTCGAATTTTTGTGCCTCTCCTGTTGTACACTCCAGATTGGTGTTCAGACGGTGCGTAAGGTTGATTTCATACAGGAGCCGCTCTAATTATTCTCTAGTTTCGAACGAAAAGGTGGTATCCTGTATTATGAGCTTAGACAGGACAGTGTGTGCCATAATATGAGCACGAACTGCTCTAGCGTAGGCATGACCAGTCATTTTGTGTAGAATAACAGCCTCAGTAAACACTCTGAGAGTCTCTGGATTTAGATCTTTTGCTTCTTCCAAAATATCAGGCGGGACAGGATACCGAGTGGTGTTGTCAACTTGCCCACGTATATCTTCTGCGATTATAGCAGCTGCTGTTTCCAAAATCCGGTCTTTCTTCTTCTTCAGATCCACTCTTTTGCGGGTACCATGCATCTGTAAGAATCTTGTGGCCGGTGTTTTTAAAGCAAAGGGGGTATTTGATGATATAGATATGTCATTTCCATATTTTTCAATCAGTCGAACTCTTATCTTGTCTTGGGATGTAGTATGGTATCGCTTTCAACATTGCTGATGAGCTCTTCCATGGAAAATTGACACTCCTCATCATTATTTTCAAGAAATGTGTAAATTAATGTCATTACATGATCAATATCGCTACGAGGTCTGCCAGCTGGTGATGGATTTAAGGTATTCAAGTGGTATACCTTTTTTAAGCATGATCTATGATACTTGGCGTTAGCTGCAGGTAGTCACACACAGGCAGAATCCGCCTGCGTATGCCGCCTCCAAACTCGGTGTCATAGCCGCTCAAACAATCCAAAATTTTATCCTTCATTTCCAAAGACGTCACAACATTAACTGGATCTCTATGGGCTTCTATGCACATAATGTTAGCGACATTTTTCATGAACTTCTACGAAAATCCTTCTCTTGAAAACTTCAGCTTTACCATCCTTTCTTCTTCTACTGGTCAAAACAAATGATGCCAACTGCTTTTCCTTCACAACACTCGTTGCAGAACCGTCCTTCAAAGTCTTATCACACAAAAAACACTCGCGATCGTACATTTTTTACTCATTTATCAGACCACGATACTAACAGGTAAACACGGAACGGAACACGCACTAAAACAACTTCGAGCAGGATTGTAACAGCACGCCGCGCCGACGTAATTAATACTGAAGGTATAAGTATGGTTATGTTAGATAACCCCGCTATGCGCTAAGGTTCCTAAAGTTAAAAGGTTGTCTGGTAATGCATAACTTGATGGCGTCATCTGGGGTACCTGATGGAAATTTGCATTGGGTTGCGGGCAGTTTGAAGAAGTGTGCGGTGGGGCGCATCAGGTCAGCCCATAGATATTTAGAGGTGTACTATAGGTACGCGCATTTAAATGTGTGCGGTACCTACACCTAAAAAAATACAGTAGGTACTACTCAAACAATAATAAATAAAGTTTAAAAACGATTAACCAGAAAAAGACCATGAAATTTAAATAAATTGTCAAATTTCGGGTAAAGGCGACCACGATAGAGCACAGCAAATTTGAATTTCGGATTCAGCACACCTGGAAATATAAAGATCAGCCATAAAACCTATGTCCGGGATTTTTTCTTCAAAACATCCTTTCCTGACACCGATTTCCTGGACTATGTTATGAATAATTCTTAAATGAAGGATAAACAAAGTTACTTAAGCCGAAGCCTATTATTGAATGTTGAAGAAAATACATGATAATATTAAATTTCCATGCACGACGTTTGAGAAAAAATACGTTCCATATGAAACTGATATACTGAAGCAAAAGGAAATACGATAATGTAAAATATACCTCAACATTTTTTAAAATTTTATTGTTCAGACAAATTTCGTTTTACTAATTATATTCGCAATTAAATTTTCAGCAAGGTTACCGACACAGGAAAATTAGTTCATACTCTGTAGGCTTAATTACCGGTAACAAACACCATCATTATTATTATCGGAGCAGATTTAACCGGTGATCTCATTATGGATTTGAAAAATTTATTGACCTTACCTTTGATTTTATTGCTCTTTTTTTTCAGCATTTACCTTGATAGTTTTATACTACGATAAACGATTAGGGATTTTTTTACAACCAACAATAATTAAACCAACTTGTGTGACTCTTATATATCATGCTTCTACTCTTTCTTCAATTTTTCATTGACTGAAAAAGATCCACAACGTCCTTGTATTTTTCAGAGTAATTTTGTTTTTCATTTTTCAGCTTCAGTAGAAAGGCCATCACCAACTTTCTCATCTTCACATTTATCAAAAGATTCAGAAATTTTTAATGCTGAAGGAAAATATACACTATTAGAGTATTTGAGAAATTACCAAGTTGGAAGACTAAAAATCGTGAAACGAGCGAAGACAGAACGATTTTCAAGTTTTCAAGAGACGTTCAAAGATCGATTAATATTATGTTGATAAGGTTTTAATATTTATTTATTTATTTATGTAATATTTCGTCTTTCTAATATGTCTTTTTTTCAGCTTCAAAGTTTTGCTTGCCCATCAATCTTTTAACTTCTGTGGAAAATCTTCAAACTTTTTTTGTCTATATTCTTTCCTCTGTAAAATATCTTTTCTTTTATTTGTCTTTCATCCTCAAGATTCTGAGTGTCTTTTTGTCTTTGATCAAGATATTTTAAAATTAATTAAGATTTTAATGTTTTGTCCTCCTTCAACCATAGTTTAATTTTAAATTAATTTTGATCAATCAACAAAATTGAAAATATTATATTTCACTATTCGGAACAATACAATACCTTCGTTATACGATGTAAAACTCAATATCCGATTACAACTAATTGAGATTAAACCGTGTACTTTCAACTACTAATGAATGCTTTTTTCTTCATTAGCGTAAAATAAATCTTTATTCTTCCTGCTAGAATAATTGAAGCGATTTTAATGGTAACATTAAAAGTTTTAAGTACTTGCTTAATTAATAATTTTGTTGCAATATTGGTTATTAATTCCCCTCCAATAACAACTTTGTTGGATCCTATAATTGGTGATTATGTATATACTTCTTTTCTTTCTATTTTGATTATCTAACGATGCCTTTGTTTGATTTTTTCATTCAATGAACTCAAAGAGTCTGACAGTCTCGGTTATTAAACAAATAAAAGTATTCTTATAAAAAGTGACGCACAAAAGCTAGGGGCGATTATTTTTTCTTGTGAGCTTAAAATTAGAATTCTTTTCTTTACTAGACAATGGCAGACAATGTGACATGTTTCAAGATGCGAGGTCACGAAAATTTGAAAATATTATAATTATCACATTATATGGTTACTTTATCATGCGAGCTATTATTACAGATGCTGCACAAAAGTCAATTTCTCAGGTGGAATAAATTTAAATTGAATTATTTTGTATTCAAATCTGAAATCTGCACATTTGAAAGAGTTTTTGTTATTGGATTTCTAAAGAAAATTTCTTTATTGAAAAGTTATTATTGTTCATGTATGACTTATGTAAGCGATTATTTCAATATTTCCTTTAAAAAATACATCTAGTTAACTGCCGGAAAAGTTTAAAAATCATCAATGTGCTATAATAATAAGAATCAACTATGAACAGTTGAAATTGGCAGATGAATAAGTAGTTGAATTTAAAAAAGAGGTGTGCAAACCACAAAATCTTTTTTCCAAAACTTCTCCAGAAATATTAATTTCATTTTGATACCGAACTAGTTGTGAAACTCGTATCCTGCATAACTACTTATAACTTATTTAATTATTTTGTAAGGTAAACTTCATCAACTGACATGATATGATTGCTCTTATGATTCTAATCAAACCTGGGAGGGCTTCATTATAATCCAATTACCAGGATAATAAAATCACAATAATCAGTCACGAAATATCACTTAAAAATTATTACCGTTTTCATTTTTTTTAAATAATTTGACAGGTAACCTCCGAGTATAAGAAGTACCTACTACTAAGTACCTGATAGTACATTATTACTTTATATACCCCTTCACTTTTGATAGTGCGTCGTACATGCATACATACACCTGTCTATATTTCTTGTGTGATGATAATTGATGTTAAGAATCTATTTATGTCTCGGTATAAATGAACTACTGTAACAAAATCTTATTTGTGAAATGAATTTTAGAATTTAAATAAATGCAATGTCAATATGCAAAACACAATTAATCGCGTAGTTGACTGGAAGGAGGGCGTTTTATTATGGCAAAATGATAATTCAATCGAAAAAATAAGGCTCAGGTGGTGTGAAATTAGTAGGTATGGGTGTACTCCGATTTCTCTTTTAAATAAGCTACGTTTAATGGAGAAAAAGGTAAAATTAAACATAAATGTATGAATAGTTCTTGCCAAACGTAAATAATACGTAGAACAAGTAAAATTCACGATAATAGTTGTAACTAGAGTTCGGATTAAAAAGCATAAAAAAAGTTGAAATAAGCGCTTGAAAAGCATGTAATTTTTCACAAAAAAAGCATGGTATATGCATGAAAAAGGCAAAAAAAACAAAAAAGTAGAATAAAAATTTATTATTTATCTATAGAATACATGATAAATAATATAATAGGTAACTAAACATTGAAATAAACAAAACAAAGTCTCTGATAAACAACAACAAAAAAATAGTTCTTGTAGAAACAAGCAATAACTAAATGCTGACTCAAATGTTCCATAGTAAAGTTCAGTCTTCTGTCACTTGAAATGTTTTTGTAGTACGAAAAACTTCTTTCTACGTCAGCACTTGTTATGGGCACGTATTTAAATTTTGCAACAACATATGGGTTCATTTTGTAACTCCAAGGCCCGGTTTATTCATCTTCAGATAAACTTGTTGGTAACTATCTGCAAAAAACCAATGGATGCTACCTACATCCATTGGTTTTTGGGCTGGGGTTTCCCGCGTAAGAATGTGCTTGTGCGATATAATATACTTTTGCATTTTAAAAAAATCTAAAAAAAGCTGTAAATAAGCACAAACCATAAAGTAAGCATAAAACTTGAAAAAAAACAAAATAAGCATTAAAAACAGTGCATTTTCGACATTGTTTTTGTCTAATTCGTAGATATTTTGAGTCGCCTGTAATATTAACAAAAAGCATAATGCCTTGAAATCCGGACTCTAGTTGTAACATAACATTGTGGTTGTTGAAAAACCATCGGGTGCCCTTCGTATTTATTTTGATCCTGTGCACTTGAATAAATGGGTTTGTTTGGATCAGTTTCCAATACCAATTATTGATGAGCTGGCACAAAAGCTAAAAAAATAAAAACATATTTACTATTTTGGAGTTGTAAGAAGGGTTTTATCATGTTCCTCTTGACAGTCAAAGCAGAAAGTTGTGTACCTTTATAACACCCTTCGGAAAATATTATTTTAATAGGTTGCCTTCTGGTTTGAATGTGAGTCCGGAGGTTTTTCAGAGAATGAATCAAATAGTTATTTGTTTTACTAGGCAGAAAAGTACAAGATTTAATGCCGCGGCTGGAGGCATTAAATCTGCTTTTCTGCCATGTAAAACATATATTTTTTTCTCCGAATGTTCGAATTCACACATGGACATCTCTTTCATATTTATTTGATTCATTATTATTATCCAAATAATTAAGTTATCTTGACAATTGTCATTGTCACCATCAATTTCAAATACCAAATTGAGTGAAATTATTACCTGGAACGTTGTGACACTGTCACTTTTAATGCCTAGGCAGTAAAAGTCCACTTTTACTGCCTAGGCAGTAAAAATACAACTTTTGTTCCTGTAAAGTGTCATTAAAAGGCTGCTTTTAATGTCATTCGGAGAAAATAGTATATTGTTGTATTAGGAGTAGAAGCTTTAGCACTACGTTCGGCTCGCAAACCTATCGCTACAGCACAAAAAAGTGCTTCTACTCCGTATGCAACACGCTATTTTTTCTCCAAACGAATGGGGTAAGCTCGGGGCAAGTGAATGGTTGAGCGGCAGTAAAAGTACGAGCGGCACTAAAAGTACCTCTACTGCCGCTCCAGCGGCACTAAAAGTACTTTTGCTGCCGCTGGGGTTGCCAAGCAGCATAGAAATTAAATTTCTACCACCTCGACAGGTGTTAACCCGCTGGATTTGACTAGCAGCATAGAAATCAAATTTCTGATATCTTGACAGGAGTTAACAAAGTGACGTTTTTCTGACGTTTGGAGAAAAACATATTTGGAGATCTACCCATTGCTATTTATTTTGACGATTTTATCATAACAGGAAGTATAGAAGAGGAACATGATGATGAAGTTTGGTGTAAAATTCAATAAATCGAAAGTTCAATATAAAGTAAAGGAAGTCAATTAAATTGGCTAGGTTTTCTCAGCAGAAGGTGTGAAACGAGACACTGAGAATGTAAAAGCACAAAAGCAGTTTTAATGTTGGATGAACCTAAAAATAAAAAGGAATTATTAAAAGTACTAGGTATGCTTAACTATTTATCCAAGTATTTACCAAAACTTTCAGACCTACTATCTCCATTGCGCGTTCTCATAAAACATAATGTTGAATGGATATGGACAAAAGATCACACCGAAAAATTTAATGAAATAAAATTCATAATCTCTGATATTCCGGTTCTTGAAATTTTTGACCTTAAATTACCCATTGAAATCCAAACAGATGCTAGTCAGAATGGCATTGGAGGTTGTCTTATGCAAGAAGGAAAACTAGTGGCATTCTGCTCACGTAGTCTAACAGAAACAGAGAGCAGGTGGGCACAAATTGAGAAGGAATATTTAGCCATTTCATTTAGCCTACAAAGGTTCCATCAATTTGTATATGGACAAAAAATAGTGGTTAAGTCTGACCACAAACCGTTAGTCTCAATATTGGTCTCAATCAACAAAAAAATAAGATATAAACAAGGTGTCTGCTAGACTACAGAGATTAAAATTAAAATGCTCAAATAGAATTTTGAAATTCAATATTTACCTGGAAATCTTATGTATATTGCTGATCTTTTGTCTAATTCCTATCTCAAAATCCAAGTAAAAGATGACGAAGAAATGAAAGAAGTTGTGCATACATTTGAAATTGACTTGCCTATATCTGAGCAAAGGTTACATGAGTTGATAGACTGTGAGGTAGGGACTGTTTAGTGGAGTAATTTTTTTTGTCTGGCATTTTGAGGGCTGAATGTGGTTAGTTAGCTGATGAGAATATGGGTGATTTTAATGCCTGCCACCCGTTCGGAAATGTGGAGAAAAAAATTGATTTACATAAAGATTTTTTTTTTAATGATCTCGAATTTCCTGGCTTTCAAATTAAAGATTGACATTGATAAATAATTCACCAATGAAAAATACCAGATGCTTTTCAATAGCTGAAAAAGTAGGTATGAGAGTCAACTTCCAAGAGAAGAGAAAAGAACCTTCCGCATTTACTTTTTGTCTGGCAATCGAGATAATAAGAGGTTTTGTTATGAAAATAACGCCAGACGTTAATCACAGTTCGAAATCGAGCAAATCCGCAAAACATTCTGTGGACATTTCGAACAGGGAGCAGGCATTGAAACCATTTATATTCTCATCAGCTAACTAGCCACATTCAGCTCTCAAAATGCCAAACAAAAAAAAATGACTCCACTAAACAGGGTCTATGAGGTCTGCTACAAAGAAGGATCCTATTTTGACACAAGTAATCAAATTTTGCCAAACGTCATGGCCTATTAGGTTATATGAGCCTGAATCGAGGAAATACTTGAATATTAGAGACAATTTGCATGTCAGTCAAGGTATGAATATGATTTTTCACAATTATAAGCTGGTTGTTCCTAGAAAGCTTAGGGTACAATTGTTGAATAAATTGCATGTAAGTCACTTCGGGGTAGAAAAATATAAAGCCAGCGCCAGAAAAAAAATTTACTGGCAAGGAACGTCTGTTGACATTCGAAACTTTGTCTCAAAATGCAAAACTTGTTTGAAATATAGTAGAAGTGTACCAAAAGAGCCAGTTATTCAACATGAACGTTCCAATGTGCCTTTTGAAAAGGTTTGTGCTTTGTGCAGATATTTCAACTCATGGTGGGAAAGATTATTTAACAGTTATGGATTATTTTAGCTGTTGGGTTGAACTTGTTCCTATAGATTATAAAACCGCCGATGAAGTAATCATTAGTAAACTTAAAGTTATATTTGCAACTCATGGGATACCATTTCTGATAATCAACCGCTCAACGGCATAAAATCTAGAGATTTTGCTCAATCTTGGGACATTAAACTTTTAGGTATCATCTAGCCCTAGATATCCAAAATCCAATGGTTTAGCTGAAAAAGCTGTGCATATTTGTAAAAATATTCTCGAAAAATGCGGAGATTCTGATAATGACTTATATAAAGCTCTATAAGAATACAGAACATCTTCCTTAACTGGGCTTGTTGTTTCTTCAGCAAAGCTACTTTTTAATAGGTTATTAGGTACAAACCTACCAGTCTCAACTAAAATACTTACTGAACGTCCATCTATTGATCATGATAAAATTAAACAAAAAAGATTAAGAGCAAAATCTTATTATGATAGGAGCGCTCATAAAAGACCATCTTTTCAGAAGGGCAAAATGTCATGATAAAAAAGGACAATCAGGGGGTACCAGCTATTCTTGTATAAAAGCATGAGACACCTAGATCATATCTTGTTAAAGAAAGTGCAGAAAAAGTCACTAGAAGAAACTCCTCATTTTTAAGAAAAAATCCAAAGAATGTAGTGTTAAGTCGGTAAATAGTTGATCCTTGTGAAAACAGTGTTGCGGTTCCATAATCAAATGAACAAGTGCTAAAAAGTGAACTTAGTGCGACAACAACTGAAACTCGAAGTGAAACTAATAATAATGATAAAACGTTGAGCCCAAAGAGTAGCGAAAGTTAATATTAAAACTCGATCAGGGCACACAGTGATGAAACCTGTTAGATCAGGAAATAGTTCTGAGTTCTACACAATGATGTATTTTGGGTTTTACTTTG